AGAGAAGAACTTCCCCCACAACATATTAGAGTTAATACATCAAAAATACAAAGCAAATAAACAATACTAATATCTCTAAGGGAAAAACACTAAGTTGTCCATGAAGGTGAACAGAATAACACCAGCTGTCACACTAGCAATCCTAAAAACTAGGATACCGTGGACTGATATATCCCTGAAAGCATATAACACAACCAAAGTGTTACCTGCAACAAAGCTATCGCTTGAATTAATGGAGAAATAAGCCTATCGAGACAAGCACACACGAAGGCAGTTCATAATAACCAATGCATAGCTGCTGAATACAGTTAAAAGAATACTATACAGGGAACAGAGAGGAAGTTGGTGACAGCACAGGAGAGAATGAGCCTCGTGAGAGGGATATGCAACAAAGGAAAGCTAGAAACGAACCACTCAGGTGCAACATAGTAAACTAGAAAAAGCCCTAACACGAACAGGGACAGAAGAAAAGAACAGGGCTAGAAAGCGGGCTCAGCATTAGGAGCACACACTGTTCTTCCAGAGGACCATGGTTTGATTCCCAGCACCCACACAGCATCTTGCAACCCTCTGTAACCCCAGTTTCAGCAGAACCAATACCCTCTTCTGACCTTTGAGGGCTCCAGGCATACTTATGGTACACATACATGCATGTAAGCAAAACACTCATATACATAAAATAAAATAAAATAAATAAACCTTTTAAAAATGAGAACAATCCAGCCAACCAGAAAACAACAAATAAAACTACCTGAATCAGTAAATGAAGCAGTTAATGTAATTGCCTCTATTGTTAATTGCCTCAAATCACCAGTAAAGAAATGTAAGCTAGCTGACTTGAATCAAAATCTAGACCAAAGCCGGGCGGTGGTGACGCACACCTTTAATCCCAGGACTCCAGAGGCAGAGGCAGGCAATCTCTGTGAGTTCGAGGCCGGGCTGGACCAACAGCCTCCAAAACAATACAAAGAAACCCTGTCTTGTAAAACAAACAAACAAAAATCTAGACTAACTGGTGTATTGCCTGCTAAACAAAACAAAACAAACAAACAAACAAAAAAACCACACCTCATTGGTAAAGACACCCACAGACTAATAGCCAAAGTTTGAAAGCCAGTCTTTCAAGGTAGTGGAAGCTGAAACAAGCTGGTGTGGTAATTCTGCGATTTAATAGTGAAGATATCAAATCAAAATTAGTCAGAAGAGATGATGAAAGCTACCACCTATTAATAAAGAAAAAAATCATCAAGAAGAAATAACAACTCTAACTGTATATGCACTGAATGGTGGAGCTACCAATTCCAATAACAAAATACGAATGAGCATAAAATGTTTGATTGATACAGTAACAGTGGGTGGTGTCAATACCCTATTATCATCTTTAAATAGGTCATCCAAACAGCAATAACGACAACAAAACCAGAAAAGGAAACCTCTGAATTAAGTCATAACTAGATCAAATTGACTTGACAGGTAGGTACTGAGTAGTCCATCCAACAGATGTGGAATTACACATTTTCCCCAGTAGCTTGTGGAACATTCTCTAAAATAGAACACATTAGGCAATAAAATCATAACACATACAACATAATCAAAATAATTTCTAGTAACTTAACAGTGGTATAGAATTAGAAATAAATAGAGAAACCACAGAAAGTATACAAATACTTGGAGAATGACCAACAGATTATCAGCAAAATCAGAAGGGATTTTAAGTGTTTCTAGAAACAAATGTTGTGTGGAATATTATTTTAAGAGGTGTTACACTTGTTTATGCTGTGGAATATTTGTTTAATGATGCAAAGATGTGTTGCATTCTTTTTTGTTGCATTTGTTTAACTCTGTAAAGCTCTGTGTGTGTGTGTGTGTGTGTGTGTGTGTGTGTGTGTGTGTGTTGCTGTGCCTGTCTAAAACACCTAACTGGTCCAATAAAGAACTGAACAATCAATAAGAAGGCAGCAGAAAGGATAGGCAGGGCTGCCAGGCAGAGAGAATAAATGGAAGGAGAAATCAGAGAGGGAAAAGGAGCAAGACAACAAGGAGAGGAGAACTCCAGGGACCAGCAACCCAGCTACACAGTAAGCCATGGAGTAAGAGGGAAAGTAAGATGTACAGAAAAAAGAAAAGGAAAAGGCCCAGATGCAAAAGGTAGAAAATCTGGCTGGAAACAAGCCAAGCTAAGGCCAGACATCCATAAGACAGAATAAGCATCCATGTGTGATTTATTTGGGAGCTGAGTGGCAGGCCCGCCAAAAGAGCAAAATATTAGAAACAACAACTACAGTCAAATAAAGCACAATTTATCAGAACTTTTGAGATATAAATAAGGCAGTTCTAAGAGTTAAATTTATAGCTTTAAGTGCTTAAATTAAAAAACAACCACAGCAGAGATGTCTACAACAAATAACCAATGATGAACCTCACTGTTCATCAAGGTTTTAGAAGACCAAAAGCCATCCAAACCTAAAAAGCAGTAGGAGGCTAGAAATAAAAAAAAATGAGGACAGAACCAATGAAAGACCAACACATTGAATCAATTAAATACAAAATTGATCCTTTGAAAAGATAAGTAAGATTGGGAATCTAACCAAATAGGAAAGTTCCAGGATAATAAATTAGAAATGAAAGAGGGTGGTGTTACAACAAAGTCCAAAGAAATCCAGCAGCTCATTGAAGAATTCCAAAAAAAAAAGTCCTAAAAACTGGACAGTCTAGTGATGTGGAAAGTCTCTATATACACATTACCTGCTTAAATTAAGTCAAGAAGATATCAGCAACTTAAACCGCTCCATAATCAACAAGAGTCAAACAGTAATGAAATATCTCCCCAACGAAGAAAAGCCCTGTACCAGAGGGATTCATTGCTGAAGTCTACCAACTCTTCGACAAAGATTTAGTACCATCACTCTTCAAACTGTTCCCAAGACAGAGCAGGGAGAGCATTAACAAACTCATTCTGGGAAGCCAGTATTGTCACATACAAACAGAAGACTGCATACCAGTTCTCCTCATGAGCATAGATGAATAAAATCCTTGCAGGCCTGAAGACACTGCTCAGTGATTAAGAGCATGCAGTGCTCTTCCAGAGGACCTGAGTTTGGTTCCTAGCACCCTAGCCAGGTGGCTCACAGTTACCTGGAACTCCAGCTCCAGAGGATCTGACGCTCTCTCTACTGGCCACCAAGCACACCAGCACTCATGTGTACATACCTGCCCAAAAAGACATACACATACACACAACAAAACATAAAATAAATCTTTAAAAACTAAAATATTTGTCAAATGTGTTCCTAAAAACGTAAAGGTCATATACCATGATTAAGTTGGTTCTATCCCAGGGATTCATGTTGATTCAACATATGCAAGTCAATAAACGTAATACAGAACATATATAGGCTTAAAGATAGAAAGTACACAATCACCTCAGAGATGCAGAAACAGCTATTGGCAAGCTCCAACATCTCTTCATGAAAACAATCTCTGAATATGTAGGGTTATAAGGGACGTATCTCCACATAAAGACTATACATGATAAACCTGCAGCTAACATTATACTAAATAGGGAAAAACTGTGCCTCCTAAAGTCAAAAACAAGACAAGGGCTCTCTCTCTCTCTCTCTCTCTCTCTCTCTCTCTCTCTCTCTCTCTCTCTCTGTGTGTGTGTGTGTGTGTGTGTGTGTGTGTATTCTTATTCAATATGGTGTCCAAGCTGGGGTAAATTTTTAGAAAGGGTATTAAACGGAAGCTAGAAATCTGGACACTGATTCTCTTGGGTTCTAACCGCACCATATCTTGCTGGAAGTTTGTAAACATCTTCACCTCCATTACTGTGCACAGTGCTTCTATGTTGTATCTTCAGTGGTCCTCCTTTCCCCAAATTGCCTCTCACCCTCGTTTCTTTAGCACAGCAACCACTAGCCTTCAGAGCTCTCAACACCTGTCCTTCACTTTAGCAAACATCCATGGCTTCAGGTGAAATGTTCTGGTAGAGGCATGAAATCTCTCAGAGTGATGGCTTGCTCAAGTTTTACAACAGCCTTTGGATTTTTTTTTCAGAGAAACCTCAGTTATCAAAAGAATTCCCAGGATGAAAGTCAGATGAATAGAAGCTACAAACACTTAGAGCACTCTGGATGATGCAAAAGCATTTCAATATCGGTTTGGCTCGCCATGCTGGGTAAGGGGTAACTCATTTTAATGTGAAGGTAACAGTGACAGGGAAAAGTCAGTGTTCTTAGCTTGTAGCTGATACTGCGGTGCTGAAATGTACAGAGTGAGATCCTAGCTACAGCCTGTATTCCTTGAAATTCATTCCACCCAATTCCAATCTACGAAAGTATTTCTAGTCTATTTGGAGTTCCAGATACGTTTTTCCCTAACAAAATAAAGGTATGCGAGGTGACAGTGATGCCTTCATGAGCAGTCGGGAGCCTGAGCAGACGAGCAGGCTTTCTGAAGGTTGTTTCAGGTCACACTCTACACCCTGGGCACTAAAGTAGTCAGTCAGGGGGAAAAATCATATCTAAGATGATGCCTGCCTCATTCGAGCTTATGATGAATTTGTAGAAGTTTGTTCCCGGAGTCTGAGGTTTTAAATCTTGCCTCCCAAAATGGGCCAGAGAAATAGATTTTTTTGCCACCTGGCACCACCAATTTAACAAACAACTTTAAATCTGTACCTCGGAGTATAGCTATATAGCAAAAATATCTTTTAAATCTCTCTGCAATCATGACATTCAAATGACCTGATCATGCAACACTAGAATTCAGATGAGTGTAAAGACAGCCCACTGATGCAAGGGACAGCTTAAAGGAGGGTAGAGAATCTAGAGAATCTGCAGGCACTCACCCTGCACCCTGGGCTCTCATTTTCATGATAGAAACCAGGCTAGTAGACAACTGCTCTTTCTCAAAGGGACCCTGTTTGCAAACATGAACAACCATTGCTTTGTTCTCTTGAGAGAAAACAATACCGCATCAATCAAAGCAAAGCCACGTACCCCAACTCGCTCCTGCAGCTGCTCATTCAAAACCGCATGTCATTCCCTGCAAGCCAGAGTGCCTGCCTGCCTGCCGGGATGATTGTGTATCCTCTGCCTTGGCTCTTCCGAACACCGCTGCAGGTTAACTCTTGGAGGCTGGATGCTCTAACCCAGAAAGCCAAGGCTCTCTAACTTAACCAATTGCATGCTGACTCATCCAGCAGGCTTAAGGCACCCCGCAGAGCCTGCTGATGGGCGAACCCTTGCACACTAGAGCAATACTTCTCAACCTGTGGGTCGCGACCCTTCCGCAGGGATTACCTCAAGACCATGGGAACTTAACATTACATTTATAAAAGTAGCAAAATTAGCGTTATGAAGTAGCAACAAAATAATTATATGGCTGGGGGTGGTCACAAGGAGGAACTGTATTAAAGGGTGACAGCATTGGAAAGTTAACAATCGCTGAGCTAGTCCGCCCTACTAGTCCTCTTTGATTTGGAAAGCAATGGATTCATTTCCCAAGGTATCAATTACACACCGCAGAGACAAGATTGAACCGTCAGTGCAGAGAGTGAAGCTAAGAACATTTCGTATGAAGGAGTTAAGCTCCAGGAAAGAGCATGTCTTTCCTGGACAGAATGCAATCTGATGGAGAAAAGTATTTGAATGTAGCAAATGTACCAAATTACCTGGGTAATTTGGAGAAACAAATGAAGTCATATTTATACTACCCTTGGTGTCCCTCCAGGGAAACCTCCCCAAAACAGCTTCCTTCAATACTGCCTATGGAGTGTGTGTGTGTGTGTGTGTGTGTGTGTGTGTGTGTGTGTGTGTGTGTGTGTGTGTGTGTGTGTGTGATTCTTCTGTTTGGGAGTTGATTACAAGTGTCAAAGCCAAGGAAAGAAAGTAAACCCTTCCAGTGTTGGAACAGCTTTTGTTTTTGTTGTTTTGTTTTCGGTTTTTATTCCTTGAGACAAGTTATCATTGTGTCCTAGCTTCAATCACAACCATTCCCCAGCCCAGGCCTCTGGAGTTGATGAGATCTCAGGCCTGTGTCCCATGCCTGCCACTGGCGCAACGCTTGGCGGCCCACCTCCTTCCCCTTGTCACCACACAGGATGCTAATGAACCTAGAATCCCCAAAGAAGACTTTGTTCCCTTTCTGCTTGGAAGTGAATTGCTGCATAACAATGCTGAGGCAAAAGGCGAGCTGCAGCAAGCCCCTGGCTTTCTTCAGGAAGAGTCTGCTGAGGCCTCCAAGGAAGGAAGGACAAAGCAGGAAGCTGACACAAGTGTTTGCTAAAGCCTGGACTCCTAAAGGGTGTCGTGAAGACACACAGGCCCAACAGGAACCTGGGCCAGGGGCTGCTGGTTGCTCGTCTCTGCCACCTGCAGCTTCCAGGGCTGCCTTCTGAGCTGCATTACCTGCTAATTGGCCTCTAGGCTCCAGGGCCTCCTTTGCTTAAACAACACCTGCCCTGGAGGCCGGGCTGGTCTGTACCGGATATCTGAACTATGGGATGTCGGAAGATACAGAAGTGATCACACAGAGAAAACTGTCAGGAGACCCTTTTCAATAAAGTGACAAGAGGAGGCTGGAGCAGCGGGCATAGAAGAGCAGGCAAAACTGAACAAGAGAGATGAGATTCTTATTTCAGGGCTATAGAGAATGACCACGATTTCTTCTTTACGAGTTTAGAAAACTTGACCAGTCAGCCGTTTTGAGCCTTTTAATCTTACTTTATCACTTGTAATTACCTTGGCGTGTGCAGCCCCATTTCCTGATTGTGACAGGAACGTGTGGCTGGTGAGAGCAATGTGCATCACTTTCATACACGCAATCCTTCAGGAATGTTCATTTTTTTTTCCTGTCGAGTAAAATATAGAAAGTGTCTCCGACTCCAAGCTGGAGTAAATGACAATGGACGTTATTAACTCATCACACACATCCCAACAGCTGGTTACCTTAGGACCCCAGGAGAGTCTTAAGGATCCAGATCTGGCACTGCAACCACAAACATCTTTAAGAACAGAAAAAAAAATCCAAGAAATTGCTCTAGGAATTTCCAATAAAGGGGACATATAAATCTACCCTACAATCCATCAATCTCACACCTCCATATTTATACACAGGAAAACATATTTCCATGTATCACAGCCTGAGCGCAAACACAGAGTTTATGCAAGAATGTCCTTGGCTGCTTTATCCGTACTCACAAAGAGCTGAGCTGTGGAGTATTTGTTGCCACTGCTCCCTAACAGAGTGAATCATCAGCGCACACCAAGTATTACTTTCACGTGGCTGTGACTCAAGAGTTGGCAGTAAGGACTTAAGTGAGAAAGGAGATATATTTTTGCCCCCAGTTTCAGAATATTCAGCCTGTGGCCCCTTGGCTCTATGCGCTTGAGTAGGACATCACGGTGTGGGGACTGTGGCAGGAAAGCATCTCTCACTTCAAGGATAACCAGGAAGCAGAGAGAGAGGATGTGGACACTAGGCCACCTCTCTCACCTTTCCTTCTGTCTGCGCTCCCTCCCAGATTATGAATATTACTGCTCAGAGCCAGCCTGTCTCTGGAGAAGCCCTCATAGACACATCCATGGCTGGGCCTTATCAGTCTCCTAGACAATCTAGAGTCGGTCAGGTCAAGTTGTCAATGAAGGCACTCAGCAGAGATGAATGTAAAAATATAAAGCAGACATAGGGAACACTTACTGAATACGTGGCATTGTGGGGGAATAGTGGAGCACTTGCCTACCACAGTTAAAAGAAAAAGAAAAGAAAACTGACTGTCCTAGTTAGGGTTGTCATTGCTGTGATAAAACAGCATGTTCAGAATTAACTTGGGGTGTAGAGGGTTCACTTGGCTTACATACCTTGACTCACAATCCATTGATGGTGCATGAAACAAGGACACCACCGCTCCAAGGTATGAATGAGGGGAAGGTTTTTATTGTAGATAAGAGGGAAACATACAGTCTGAGGAAGAGTCCAGAACAGGGAGAGAAAATAGTAGAGTAATGGGGCCAGGAAAGGAGAGTGAGGGAGAGTGAGAGGGGAAGACGAAAAGAGAGAGCGAAGAGGACCAAGAGAACACTCGGCAGGGTTATTATATAGGACCCAGAACCTGGGAGTGGGGAAGCCCATGAGCTGGAGAAATTTAGGGGCAGGGAAGAAGAGCCAAGAGGTCAGGCTGGACTCTGTAACAGGTATTTGTGATGCTGAGAGAGCCTGGAGGCTAGCATGAGCTTTGGTATGCTAATAGGCAGCACAGTTAGCTATTTGTCCCAAGTTTCTTTTGGACCTACCTGAGCAGGTACTCAATCTGGATGGAAATTTCTGAGCCAAAGCAGAGGCCATGGAGCTGTTTATTAAGGCTTGCTTCTCATATCTTGCTTGGCCTGCTTTCTTTTTGTTTGTTTGGTTTTGGTTTTTTGAGACACGGTGTCTCTGTGTAACAGCTCTGGCTGTCCTGGGACTCACTCTGTACACCAAGCTGGCCTTAAACTCACAGAGATCTGCCTGCTTCTGACTCCTGAGTGCTGGGATTAAAGGTGTGCACCACCCAGGTATCAGCCTGCTTTCTTATGGAACCCAAGCCAGCCTGCAATGGGCTGGACCTTTCCTCATCAACCACATCAACCTCATCAACCACAAATTAAGAAAATATCCTTCAGGATTGAAAGGTTCAGGCATTACGCTGGCCTGCCCTGTTACCTGGCAGGATGCGCTCAGACAACACTCTGGCCATCCCAGAGTTCCGTGAGAACCAGGCAGGTGCAAAGGACCCCTTTAAAGGACTGACCCCTGCCCGTTTATGCTCTCTTGCTCTCTTCCTCTCTTGCTCTTACTCTGTCTCTCCCTCTTATCTCTCTCTCTCTCTCTCTCTGCTCTGTACGGGTTGGTTACCTCTCACCCCCCTTTCCCTCCCTGTCCACCAATAAACTCCATGTGGGCTCGTTGAGTCGCGGTCTGTGTCTCCTTACTGGATAAACCTAAACATTTTAACAACATTGGTTCCCTGACCTGGACAGGCTCTCCCTGTGGCTCTGCTGCCTGCAGACCCAGCAGGTGACCATGCAGGTAACCTGTAACATCGGACCAACGGCCCACTTTCCATCAACCGGAACGCTACATTTTACATGCAACACCGGCTACCATTTGGTAAGGACCCCCTTTAAGTCAGCGAAACCTTTCCCTAAACCCTAAGGGCTGACCGCCGAGCGTCTGCCACCCTTATTGTGTTTTTGGAAACGTGGGGAATTCATCCAGCCACGATCTTCAAGATCACGGTTGGCCCCCATCGTCTGACAATCATTCTTGGTTTGTTTTCCACGGGCACGGCCTATTGGTAATTTTTCGGCCCCTTTAGGAAGCCTATGGTGGCTTCTTCGCGCTTCTTCGCCTTTGGGACGCTCCTTTCCGAGCCTACGGTGGCTTCACTCTAGGACGTTCCTTTCCGAGCCTACGGTGGCTTTTTCCCTTCTAGGATGCTGGTTCCTTTTCGGGTGGTCTTTTTCCGCCCTTTCTTGACTCTCGAGCTGACGAGTTCTGAAGAGTTTTTTCGGTTCCTTTCTGAGCCTACGGTGACTCTTCGCCTCTAGGATGCTGGTTCCTTTTCGGGTGGTCTTTTCTGCCCTAACTAGACTCTCGGGCTGACGAGCTCTGAAGAGTTGATCTGGCCGTTTTATTTTCCTTTAGACCGGACTCATAAATAACAAACCAACAAAGTAAATATGATCTTTCTAACCACTGCCAGTGATCTGGCCGATGGAAGGAGTTGCCCTATGTTCAAGCTTTTCTCTACCTCTCTCCTAAGCATTCTCGTCAACATTCTTTCTTCCTCTAAATCTCATTCTTCTAGCTTTAAAAACTCCTGCCAGTCACAGAGGCTTCCTGCCACTTCCCATCGTGGCTAAACCTGCCTCAGGGCGGGAACAGCCTTCCACCTGGGAGTGTTCTGTTTTGCCTCTCTCCTGTTGATCCCAGTTTAGCCTCTACTCAGGACACTCAAAGTTTTTCATTTTTTCCCCCACAAATGAGGTTAGAGGATTTCGGATTTTTTACTGCTCGGACCCACGAGGGGTCTCTCGGGTTTTATACCCTGGCACGGGCCATTCATTTGTTTCTTAGACCTACGGTGGTCACACATCTTTCTGCCTCACT